GAGACTGGCAGACGATTCAGGTGAAACAAGAACCATCCGTCAAGAAGCGAGCAATCTATCGAGTCAGCGCTTTCGCTTGCCGAGGGTTTTCGTCTTTCCAGTTGACGAGTGTCCATTGAGTACACCCGAGTGCTGCTGCTGGACCAAAGATTGTGAGTTCCGGACTCTCTCAGACAGCTTCGAGACCAGCGGAGTCTTCCACTATGTGGGGAATCCCAACCGAGTTTGTTGCGTCCCCCTCAAAGCGAAGCGAGCAAACCAACGGTGGACAGTGAGACGGCAGTAGTGTCCTTCCTTAATGCGCTGTTGATGTTACGGGTTCTGCCGTCGCTACAGTGCCGCCACTCATGGAAAATGGTGGCTGGCTCGAAACTACCCTTATGAACTTGACAGCTGAAATTGGCAGTCGAAAGCGACTGGCTGTTCAGGGCTCCGGCTCCCACCAGTTCCTTGCAGCTCTCGATAGTAAAACGAGGAAATATCTTGGCTGACTGTGAAGAGACTTCAGCAAAATTGTAACACGGGGTGACTTGATAAAAAACATAACAAAATAGAAGTACAAATCTCCCAGTATTTATTTGAAAAGCCTAAACTTACGCAGGAGGACGTGCAGCAGTGCTAGTAAATCCTGCCAGCAAGTCAAAGGGATCTGCGGCGTCGTTCGTCACAGTCGAAATAGGATTCGACACAGACACTGAAGAATTGCAATGAAATCGTCTTTAATATGCTTCCGCTTTGAAAATTCTCGTACTAACCTCCTAACAGACCGCCATCAAGCACTGAATTTGTAGCAGGCATTGAAGGTACTACAGTCGTGCCACTCATGAGATCAAATAAGTCATTGTTGGTACTCTCAAAAAGAAGTGGTTATAAAATCAAGCTTCAGGCGTAACTGGAACATAACCGGGCAACTTACTGTTTTAGCAGGTACTGCAACAGGAACGGGTTCATCCAACGAAGCTAACTGACCCAGAAGATCTATGTTAGACGGCGGAGCAGCAGCGGCCGGTGTTGGTGAACCATCTTCCAGAAGAGATGGGCCATCCTCGATAGGTGCTGCAGCTGCATTGAGTGAGTTGTGCAGAATCACAGGCATTCGTTCAAGGAGGCCATATCTGAATAAAAGACAATTCTTGGGATTCTTAGAAGGAACGACACTATTCTAGGCAAACTGTACATTCCACCTGTTGATCCTGGTCCCTGCCGTATATGGGGTGAATGAATCCGCAGCTGCAGTAGCTTGTCACTTCCTCCGGTCAAAAAAAGCACGGGAACAGGGCTGGAGGGTAGTAATAACCGTGTGCTGTGTTCGTACCACGGTCAGCTACACGCCTGACCATGGCGCTACTTGTTTGCGCTCTCTCAATTCTGCTTGTTCTCTACAATGAGTGAGAGTTTTTCTGCTAAACCTGGGAATCGACGCAGAGCTGCACATTGACGATAACGCGGGCGGAGTGTGGAGACCACACTCGGGTACTGTTACCGTACGGCTCCATTGCCTAGTATTTTTGACCGAAAAAAGGTCACGCTACTGCAGCGGACTCATTCGTCTCGCACATAGCAAGAACCAAGACCTACGGAGGTGAGAGTACAGTTCGTTCTCAAGCAAAACCCCTCACTTGATATCGCCACAATCCAACAGC